TGAAACTGGAGGTGTGGCCTAGAGGGGATGTCCTTAGGTCACTGGGAATGTGACTTTGAAGAGAACTGTGGGACCTCAATCATTCTCTTCCTCTTCTACTTCCTTGCTTGTGACATGAGTGATGTTGCTCTGTCGCATGCTTTTATGATGTGCTGCCTATGCCAGGCATCCAAAAAGCAACAGGACTACCTGATTTTAGACTGGAACTTCCAGAACTATGAACCAAGGCAAACCTTTTCTCTTCATAAGCCAATTGTCTCAAGTACTTTGCTATGGCAAAGAAAAACTAACAGAGGCCCATGGTTATGGAGTCAGATATCTCTAGTTGTAGTTCTAGTATTGCCACTGAACCAGCCACTGTCTCTGAGGGCATGTAAAATGTGAAAGAGCTACTAGGTAAGGCAAGCCGTCAACAAATGATAACTATTATGTCTGGGCAAACATTATGGGAAGCATAGTCTGTACTAGCTGCTGGGATGAGTAGGGGAAACAGTGGAGGAAGATGATAGTTCTATCTTGTGGTGACCACTGGTTCTATTGCACTGCTGGTATGAAGAAGAGACCCTAACTGTGCTGGGGCTGGGTGGAGGTGGGACTCCAGGGGCCTGGACGCTTCACAGGACAATTTTGGGGGTGAGGGATTTCCAGATTGAGGGCATAGCACAAGCAAAGGTGGGCAGGCAGGCAGGAGGATCAGGAATTAGTAGATTCAGGTTGTCAGGTAAACTGGAACAGAAGGGCTGTGGCAGGTCCTGGAGGGCCATGCAAGACACCCAGCTTCCCCAGGAAGAGATGCGATCAGTTTTTCATTTCAGGAAGATTTTATGGCTTCCTTCTATAGTCTGGGTGGGAGGGCAGTAATAGACTTCTAATAACCTAAACTGGAGGTAGAGGAGGCCCTGGTAGGTCAGGGACCACGGGGAGGAAGACACAGTCCAGTTAGCAAGCAACAGAGCCAGGATCTGAACTGAGAGATCACCTCTTTCTGCCACTCTGGGCAGTCTCGAATAGCCTGGGCCTGGTGAGCTTGGCCTGCTGGACTTTAACCTGAGGGATAAAATGGTCCTTCAGTGAGGCAAATGGACCCCATTTGTGTCACCGGCGGGCAGAAGTATGGCTGACCCAACACTGTCCCCTGGTGGATGAAAGTAGAAGTTACATGGTCACAGGAGCACCTCTGCGCTCCCAGCTAGCCTGGTTGCTTTTTCTATGAAGCTACCAAGCCTATTCTCTCCCCATTTCCACGGGACAGATGGACTTAAGTTGGTGTGTTTTTTTTTCAGTACTAAAATTTGAACTTAGGGCCTGGCACATGTTAAGCAAGTGTTCTACAGAACTGTTTCTCCTGCCTAATTAATTCCTCAAGTTGATATCTTGCCTTCTCCTCTTTCTGTTGTGTGACAAGTCACTTCCTATCCCAAGCCTCACTCTTTTCATCTTTAAACTGGGTATGCTGTTTCCTGTTGCAGACTTGGCTGGGCACACAGTAAATTCTGAAGTTGGCATTGTTGTATTCTACCGAGAAACACCAACGTTTGACTCTGGCCATTCCTCAGTCCCTGGAACCCCACATTTCCCTCTCTCCCACTGTGTGGCCTCCACACAACCCTTCTTGGTAGGGGTCCACATGCTCACGTAAGCCTTTTCCTCCCAAGAGGAAATGAGGGTACTGCAGGCAGCTGATCTGGGTACCTGCCCCAGTCTGCCATCAGAGACAGTGGCTTTGATCAAGTCCCTCTGCTTGCTATGTCTAAGTGCCCTGGCCTGTAAAATGGGGCTGTCATCTCTGCCTGCTTCAGAATGCTACATAAGGAGTTGGGCAGACTATGGAACTCTGCTGAAGACATCAGTAACTCCCACAGTAACTCCCTTCCAGTATCAGGTCCTTGGTGGGGCGGTGGCAGGTAGTGGGGAGAGATATTTCCCAATTGCCATAAAAGACCTCTATACATGCCCTGCCTCCCCGCAAGACTGTGGGGTCTTTTACAGGGAGATGGGCTGGAGAGAGTAGGTCCTGTCTCCATTCCATGGATAGAAGAGGCCTCGGGTTTTCCAGTGCTGTGTTTGGAGCAAGAGTTTGAACTATGACCTCCTATCAAAAATTTGTCATTTCCCTCCTGACATACCAATACTGTTACAAACTGCTTCGTAACTTCCATTACAGCTGATTTATTAACATCTAGTAATATATAATGTATGCACAGTTATTCATGGGGAATAGCACACATTGTTGACAGCAGTGCCACGCGAGCCCAGGCAAGTGCTCTGGCCCCAAACTCCCCACTCCTTGCTCTAAAGGCTCATCTCCTTCTAGTCCTCCCCAATCCTTATGTGGTCACTTCCTTGAGTCAAAGCTTATTTGATCCCTTTCTCCATGAAGCTTCTTTGCTGGATATACCCCAAGAATTTGGCTCTTGCCCTCATAAGACACACAGTGACAACACACACATACATTTGATTACTGATCTTCATGTCATTTCTACCTCCTTCAGTGTGGGCAAGCTTCCTGTTAGCAGAGTTGGATCAGCCCAAGGTCCTACTGTCCCCAGAGCTGGGCAGATGCTCAATAAATGTTAAAGAATAAATGAAGACAAACTTTAGGCATGTTAGTGACCTTCTCTGGGTGGCTTCATTTTAAAAAAGAAAACAAAACTAGTGTTCTGGCTGGAGATGCAGCTCATAGGCAGAGTGTTTGACTAGCATGCACAAGGGTCTGGGTTCTATCCAAAGCAACACCAAAAAAAATTAGTGGCAATCCTGCAGTTGTGTCCAACCTGTGGCCTAGAGGCTACACAAGGGCCAGGATAGCTATGAACTTGACACAAAATCCATAAACTTATTTAAAACATTATGTAATTGTTTTTTGTGATTTAAAAAAAAAAAACCTGATGGGCATAGTACTTGAGTGTGAACTTTGTAGATGACAGCACTGTGTTGCAATGTCCCAGGTTAAACGCATGTGCCACAGGGAGGGTTTGCTGAGGACATGTCCCTTGCCCAGTTCTCAATGTGCCTCTGTTCACTTGCCAGGCAGGAGGTTCTGTCACTTCCTCAGGTGACCTTTGTGCACATTGCCTAACCCTGAGATGTTGAAGGACCTCCAAGAGGCAGCAAAGAGGGTGGCCTTGCCTGTCACATCTCAGACACAGGAGCAGCCCTTGGACTTCGGGGTGTCCTGTGGTTCTAACCTCACAGCTCCAAGCTGTCTCCTTGGAGCCCGCACAACCATAGACTTTTTTGTTCCTTGCCAATCTGCTTAAACTGATCTTGGACAGGATTTTTGCATGACACTGCCTCTAGGTGTTCAACTGAGTTCTGCAGTACAGTGGGGCCCCAATTCAGACTCTACATCCTGACTGTGAATAGTCCATCTGGCCCAGCTGCAGGGCATGAAGAGCCCCTCATTAAATCACATCATTTCTCCATTAAAATATGTCTCAGATAACGAAGAAATCTAAGAAGAGAAAATGAAATGATGCAGTTTGACAGCAGGAAAGAGACTGGAGACTTACTTCTTGCTTGCAAAGTGCCTGGATAAGGTGGTATGTGCTGAGGCTTCTAGGTTTCAGAGAGTCTTGGCAGCCAGGCCTGTGACACTTTGAAGCAAGAACCCCTTTTCCAGGGATGTCTCACTTCCAGGAACATAGTTGGGTGAACAGCACCCTTTTGTTCTTGGAACAGCAGTACAGTACAAAGAGGGCAAGATCAATGATCCTGAGCGAAGGTCTGAGCCACGCTGTGTGGTTGGCAGGGCTTCCATTCCAGCCTGAGGGCAGGGAGGGGTCAGGGCAGCACAGCCTGGGCTCCAAGGCCCTAAGTGATGGCTTCTCTGAGCCAATCCACAGAGCCACAACTTGAGAGTGTCTGCTCTGTTAGCAGAGCAAGTGGTAGGCCACCTGACTGTGGGCTGTGGATGCCTGGAGGACCAGCCTTTAAGATGTCATCACTGGCCAGCTCTGGGGTCACATGGGGAAGAGGTATTGACAGTTGATTTTCCTCTCTCCCCTTGGTGAGACACACAGTTGGAAGGAAAGATGGATGGGGTTCTGAGAAGCAAGTTAGAATCCAGGATGAACATTTGAGATGACAGCTCACACCCTGAACCCTGGCACTAGTACCTCTGTCTAGCTTAGCTTTGGCTCTGAGTCTATTCAGGCCAGAGCAAACTAAAGTTAGCCAAGCATAGTGATACATGCCTGCAATTCTAGCACTTAGGCACCTGAAATAATCAGATCAAGAGTTCAAGGCCAGACTGGGCATGGTGGTGTGTGCCTTTAATTCCAGTCCTCAAGAGGTAGAGGCAGGCAGATTACTGTGAAATTGAGGCCAGTTTGCACTACATAGTGACTTCCAGGTGGACTGGGACTAGGAAGACCCTGTTTGAAAAACAAAACAAAACAAAAAAACAGTGAGTTTGAAGACAGTTTGGGCTGGGCTACTGCCAAATGGAAGGGAGGAAGAAAGGAAGGAAGGAAGGAAGGAAGGAAGGAAGGAAGGAAGGAAGGAAGGAAGGGAAGGAAGGAAGGCTGAAGTTGAACACCAGTGGATCCCAGCAGGGGTTTTTGTTGGGTGTGCCTAAGTGTGTGTGCCTGTGTGTGCGTGTGCGTGTGCGTGTGCGTGTGTGTGTGTGTGTGCGCGCGCACACACACTGGAGATCCAGTTACCTACTCAACTTTGTAAGTCGAGTGTGACTGTGGCTTTTCCCCCTGATGGTTCCCCTACCACATCTTGCCCCTCCATTTCTGCTTTTCCTTCGGAAGGAGAGAGAACCAAAGAGATCTTGATATTCTATTGGAGCTAGGACTCTCACCTCTACCCCTAAGCCCACCCAACATCTGCTCCAGCTGACCCTACCCATTTTTGCTAACCTCCTATTGGAGAGCAGGGCTTCCCTGAAGCTGTGCTCCCTGCTGAACTTAAGTACCCCACCACAGCTGGGACACCCAGCACGACTGAGTCCTAGGTGGGTGTACCTATTTAGAAGAACACAAAAACAAGGACATGGTCCTTCCTCAGTAGATGTGTGGGCATCCTCAGCCCCATTCTCCAGGTACAGGGGATGAGATGTTGGTCTGAATTTCCTGCTGGACCACTGTGCCAAGTGGGCCTACCAGGGGGCTCATGTGGAGACAGGGGAAAGTGGCTCTCTGTAGCTACCTTCAGTACCACTCTGCCTGGAAGTCAGGGGGCAGGGAGGGTGTCTGAAGGAGTTGGAGGGAGCAGGGGCAGAGGTGGCCAGGGTCTTCATTGCCCCAAGGAGGGTCTCGTCCTCTTGAGACCCTGCAGCTTCTCCTCACAATCCTTGTCTGGGAACAGCACCTCCACCGTGTAGCTGACTTTCTTGGTGTGTAGCAGGCTATAGGTGTTGTCAAAGCGCAGGACATCTGCAAGGATGAAGAGGTGACAGGCAGCATAAACCCAGCTCATGAGTATGCCTGGTGATCTTGTGAACAGGCTGTCTAGGACCATAGGTGGGATGTGAGGGTCAGCTACCACCTTACCCCAAGCCCACTGTCTCCTGAGGATGCCTGTGCTACAGAAAGGGATCATGCTGGCCACAGAGGGGTGTGGCCCCTTCTACCCACCAGGCATCCCACAACTACTTTCACAGGTCCCTGAAACCCTTCTCAGAGCAGCCCCTGGGGAAAGGATGCCACCTCTGTGTGTTAAAAGGCTTGGGTTCAGGAGGCACCAACGAAGACAGCAGGAACTTTAGGAGGCAGGGCTTAAGGGGAAGAGGTGAAGCTTAAGGAGAGGTCCTTAAGTCACTGTGTGTGGGGGGGGTGTCCTTGAAGAGGATTATAGGACCCAATAAGCCTCTCTGTCTCTCTGTCTCTGTCTGTCTGTCTCTGTCTGTCTGTCTCTCTGTCTCTGTCTCTGTATCTCTGTCTCTCTCTGCCTCTCTCTCTCTCTGTCTCTCTCTCTCTCTCCCTCTATCTCTCTGGGTTTTTGAGACAGGGTCTCAAGAGTATAGCCCAAGTTGACCTTGAACTTCTGACCCTCTTGGCTTGGCCTTCCTAGTGGCTGGGATTGTAGGTGTGTGCTACCACACCTGGTTTCTTCCTTTACTTCCTTTTTGCTTCCTGGCTTGAGATGTAAGTGGTTTTGCTCCACCTGCTCCTGCCATGATGTGCAACCCTTTCAAGAAGTTCGAAGTAATAAGGTCACTGAATCTTGGACTATAGATTCAGTCACCTTCAGAATGGTGAGCTGAAAAAAAAATCTAAGTTATTTGTCTTGAGTGTTTTGCTACAGTATAGAACGCTGGCTAAGACACTAGGCCATGTTGTTTCTGGTGAAACTGTTAAATTGGTTCTGGACACCTCTTTGGGAAGCCTAAGTTGGGTGCTTCAGGCAACTGGGCAGGCCTTTTGCTGGAACCTCTGACATTACTCCATGGCTGCTTAGTTACTTGTCTCTTAGGCAGGTGTGTCCCTGAGCTGTTCTGCAATGTGTCTCTGCCTTTGTATCCACCCACGGGAGTCACATATCAGATCCAAAACCTTGAAGGCAGCACCCCTAGAGGCCCTAAGGTACAATCCCTGCACCCTCCCTGAGGGCTGAACACAGAGGAAACCCAGACAGGTCAGACTGGCCAGAGGTGGCTGGTCTTTTTCTTGTTTTTCTATCACACACAAAAAGAACAACTCCAATAAAAGCTTTAGCCAGCTCTTACAGACTCCAGCCTTGAGGCAGGTGAGGCTCCCATCTTCAGGGACCATGTGTGCGTTGTACCGTTGGCTAGATAGCACCTCTGTCATCTCCCCAGCCTTCTGCCGCTCCCCCATCCTGGTCTTCAGGAAAATCCCAAAGCCAATGTCTCCACCATCTGAAGCAAATTGCCACCTGTGGCAGATAGAGCCCCACTGATGACCTCCTGTGTGGCCTTGAGAGCACCCCCCTCCCCAGCTGTGCCCGGGTGTGGTGGCCACTGCCCCTACCTGAGCACACAGCCTGGGAACAGGATCTCGTTCTCCACCTGCTGGGAGGAGCCACGGCCCACGGCCACCGTGTGCTCATACTGTAACCGCTCCTGATTTCTCTGGTAGTAGCTCTTGGGCACGTCACCCCCATAGTTGATCTGTGGATCAGGGGTGGGTAGGTTGACACAAGGTCACAGCAGTATCTTCCCTCCCTGTGCTCTGGGCACCTTGTACCTTGGTCAGACACTTGGGGTTGCCATCAGGGTCAGTCATTGTCCCCCCAAACTCCACAGGCAGCTGGTCGGGGTTCATGAACTTGAGAAGCTCCTGTTTCCAATTGTCTGTGTGGGAGGAACTGGGGCCTCTGAGGGGCTCAAGGAGCTCAACGAGGGGGGGAGAAAAGATGGGGGGGACACCTGATATATCCCTGGCTTGCTCCCCTGAGTATCTGCTCCTCAGAGCACACATGGGCTTGCTTTCTGGCTCCCAGGCCTGAAGGATCTGGAAACCAAGGCCTCACTCTGTGTGCAGAAGTGAACAGGGCCAGGTCAGGGCCAGTGAGTGTGGAAGGAGGATGCCCCAGGCGAAGGGGTGTGGCTGTGTGCTCTACTTTCTAGGTAGATGCAGAGATGGGCCTTGCGTGGGGCTGACGGTCAAGTCACTCACCTCCCAGAATCACAATCTTCTTTTGTGTTGCTTCACCCATGAATGACTTGACCAGGTTGAAGGCCACTGGGAAAAGCTTAGGGGCTGAAACACAAAACTTCCTTGGGAAGCTGGACCACAGAAGACTCCAGTAAATGAGCTCTGGCCAAGGTCATGTGGGCCAAGTTATGTGCTCCATCTTCTCCTTTAATAGCCTGTCATTCAACATCTCAGCTATCTTATGGGGAGAATGCCACAGTGTCCCCACTTTATAACATGGAAAACTGGGCCTCCATGAGATAAAACAGACTTGCTCAGAGTCATAGGGGTAGCTGGAGTTGAACCCAGATCATCTGACTCCAGGGCATATGGAAATGAGTCCTCTCTACCCAGCTATCCAAGGCTATCCATTTCTGCTCACAGTGTATCTGAACCAGTGTGTCCCATGGCCAAGTCAACACTGAACTGAGTGAAGAAAATAGCCAGCAAATATTTAGAAACTCAGAACTGATTTAACATTGTTGCAACATGCCAGTGTAGGGTTTTGTGTATTACAAAAATGCCAGTCTGTGAAGGAATGGAGCTCAAAACATAAACAAAAACCTCATTTTTCACAGAGGATGGTTTTGAGAAGTTCTAACTCAAAGGTTTATCTACTGTTATCTCCTATTCCTGTTCTCTGTGCCTCCCTTCCTTGGAAGTCACCTCAGCTGTGAGCTCACCTCGTATAACAATCAAATTCTTCACTGTCTCCGGATAATTTGCTTCCAAGATGGCAAAAAACTGTGAAGTCAAGTCACATTGGTCATGGCTGTGCCTAGTGCCCTCAACCCCCAGACTTCTGATGCTGCTGAAGCATCCCAACCTTCCCCACAACATGTGCAGCTTCCACTGGGCTATTCTTGCTTCTCGCCCTCCTTATGGGGTGGCCTTATGGGTCCCTGGAGGGTATCTCTATTTTTCCATGGACTGGAAGCTGGTATGGGCTGTGGGTCCCTCTCGGCCTAGGAGCCATTGCTGTTCTGGTCTCCAGTCGGGTGCCTGTCTTACCTGTTGGTAGACCTCCACAGCTGGCTTCCACAGGTGCCTCAGGCTCAGTCCCTCCATATCAAATACCATCAGCATCCTCTCAATCTTCCTGCCCAACTGCATGGAACAGAGCAGGTTAGATCATTATTCCAGCCAGAGGATCCTAGCCACTTCTCCCTCTCTTTGCCACCCACACCCCCTGGCAGAAAGGCCTGGTAGCCCATGGTATATTCCAAACAGATGGTATTCTAGGATAAGGAGATGTCAAATCTGAGTCCCAACAGGGCTGTGGGTTCATGGGGCATCATCACAATTTGCTCAACACTATTGCCTAGAGTGTGCTAACGACATGATTAAAAATATGATTCGGGAGCTGGAGAGATGGCTCAGCAGGTAAAGGCACCTGCTGCCAGGCTGATGACCTGAATTCAATTCTTGGGACTCACATGTTGGAAGGAGAGAACTTATTCCCACAAGTTGACCTCTGACTTCCACAGCGTTCAGTGGAATATGAATAAATAAACCCCATTTGGTTAAAAAGACATGACTTGGGCTAGTGGGATGGCTCAGATGCTTGCCATACAAGCCTGACAGCCTAAACATACGGTAGGAGAGAACTGATTTCCAAAGGTTATCATCTGACCTCCACATGTGTACCATGGCACATGCACACCTGCATTCACACATACACCTCACACACACACACACACACACACACACACACACACACTTCACTGGGCATCTTCATGCACAACAGTATATAGTTGCCCTTTGGTATGTGTGGGGATTGGCATCAAGATCCCTAGCAGATACCAAAATATGCAGATGCTCAAGTCCCTTCTCTACAAGGCTGCAGCATCTGCACATAACCTACATTCATCTTCCCTTGTGCTTTAAGCCACATCTCTTTTGCTTGTGATGCTTGATATGATGTGCTATGGAAACATTGTCATGTTCTTTGGGGAATAATAGCAAGAAATCTGAACATACTTAGTACAGACACAATTTATTCCCCCAAATATTCTCCATCTGCAGCTAGTTGAATCTGCAGATGCATAACCTGTGGGTGTTGAGAGCTGGTTGAGGTCTGTAGTCCCTATGGATGAGTCCAGACCAGAGCTGTACTGCTGGCAGGCTGTGTAGCATTGAACAGGTTTTTTCTGTGTCTTCCTTTTCTTTATAAAATGGGGTTAATTGTAGGTTCTGATAGAATTGCTATGAGAGTTCGATAAAATGATGCTCAAACTGTTCAATGTCTGGGATGTAGCTGGCTGAGAAATACTGGCAGACATTATTGAGTCTTGTCATCACCCTAATTGTTGGCTCCACTTGGGAATATCTGTGGACTAGATGAAAATAGACCTACTATATAAAATCAGCCATGCATCTAATCCAACCCAGGCACTGAATACAGAACCTCATAACTCACTCATGATTGTCACAAATCTCTGCAGAGGATCTCTTGTATGTCCAGCATTTATGCCAGGTGCTGGTGACAAAGGCCTAGCTCTTGTGATGTGGAGTCAGCCATTAGTTAAATCATGTCCCAGTGACAGAACAGCTCCCCAGGGACTCCTTCCTGGTATCCTTCCTCGGATTCAGAAAACCAACAAAGCCACTTGCCTTCTGTACTGGATTCACTCTGAAGGATGCAAAGGGTCAGGGGGCAGCTCAAGGGAAAGACAAGATCTGTCCAAGTGGATACCAAGGCCTCATTCTTGAGGGCTCCATATGTATATTTTAATTTTAAAATTGCATGTATTTTTTTATTTGTAGGTATGTGTGCACATACCACCATGCCTAGGTCAGAGGATAACATTTGGGAGTCAGTTCTCTCCTTCAACTATGTGGGTTCTGGGAATTGAATGGAGGATTTTAGGCTTGACTGTAAGTGCCTTTATCCTCTGAGCCATCTTGCTGTCCCTAGAGTGGCTTCCTTCTCCTTCTCTCCCCCCTCTTCTTCCTCCTCCCCTTCACTTCTTCTTCCTTTTCTTTTTGAGACAGGGTCTCCCTGTAGCCCCAGCTAGCCTGGAACTCACCATATAGACCAGGTTAACCTCAATGTCATAGAAATCCACCTGCCTCTGCCTCCAAATGCTGGGATTAAAACCATGCCTGGTCCCCCCCCCCTTTTTTTTTAGTATCTCCCTAGTATCTTCTAGAGTCTCATGAGGGAATATACATGGCTACACTATCAGTATTCATAGTTATAAGACTTACAGTGGTGAGATTAGCTTTTCCATAAGTGAAGTGGGCTGTCCTCCATTCCCAGAGTTCCTGGGAACAGAGCTAAGAGCTCTTACTGTACCCATGGTCAAGGTCAGTGTCTCATGCAGAGGGGAAGTACTTTGGTAACCTTGACTCATAGACTTATGCCAGCAGAGAGTCACACACACACACACACACACACACACACACACACACACACACACACACGCACACCGATGCTCACAAAGGGATGACAGTGGGAGAAGCTCCCTTTGAGCACTGGGTGGAGGTGGAAGAACAAGGTACGTATCCTCCCCTAGATCTGGTGTCTCTGTTTGGACACACTAGGGACACCATTCACCCTACCTGTGCCTGGCCACTCACCTTCTGACTCTGTAGCTCACACTCATGCAGAAGCAGTTCACAGACCTTGACCCGCTTCCGGATCAACTCCTGCTTGGAGGCCGACAGGAGGAGACCCTTGGGGTCTAGGGTCCCGATGATGTCAAACCACACAGGACAACCTTCGTAGTCATAACCACACAAGCCACCCGAGTCATAGAGTTGGATCACCTGGGTACATGGGCAAAGTCCAGACTCAAACCAGCGCACACTGTGTCATCAGGTAGCTGGATATGGGGGTGAAAGTGGAGACATTAGATGGCCTGGGGGATACTACACGAGGCTCACCTCTGATGGCTTCCATGTGAGGATGTGGTCTAGGTCCTGCTGTTTCCGGAACTCCACATGCTGCAGAGACATGTAGAAGCTGCAAAATCTGCTTGCCCCTCCAAAGCCTCTGCAGGGACCTGGGGACACAAGGCCAGGTCCCTCTGCCCACAGCTGCAAGATTATCAGAGCATCTTTATGCTCCTCAGAACTGGGGGTAGAGGTAGGAGAAGGGTACGAAGGGTGGGACTCAGACCTCATGCAAAAAGGGACCCCAGGAAGAAGCTTCAAGGAACACTGTGTGGTTAGAAACCTGGGTCAGCAGGACACAGGGAGGCCCTACCTTCCGCAACATGTCCTCAGTTTTCTTTAGGTCAAAGTTCCGAGCTGCAGAAAGATAAGAAGGAGAGGTCAGATCTAGAATGAGCTGGGCTGGGGCTGGGGTGGGGGCGGGGGGGGGTTCTGCAAGATGGCTCAGAGAGTAAAGGCGCTTGTCACGAAGTCTGAAGATCTGAGTTTGATCTCTGGAACCCATGTGGTGGAAGGAGATAACTGACTCCTGCAAGTTGTCCTCTGACCTCTACATGGATACAGTGGTATATACACTCCCATTCCAAATAATAAATAAATAATAAATAAATAAATAAATAAGTAAATAGTTTAAGTTTGAGGATGAGCTGGTCCCTAGAGGCTCATGAGGACAATGAGGGTACACTACTTTTTCCTAGGCCCCAAGAATATATTGGGACCTGGAATTTTTGTGTGTTCATTTCTGTGCATGTGTGTGTGTGCATGTGTGTGAAGGATAGTGGTCGATGTTGGGTGTGCTCCTTAGTCATTCTCTCACTGAACATAGAGCTCACCAATTGGCTGGGATGGTTGGCTAGCAAGCATCAGGGATTGCCCTGTCTCAGCTCCCCAAGTACTGGGGTATAGACATGTCACTCCAGGCCAGCTTTTTACATGGGTGCTAGGAAACTGAACTTAGGTTCTCATGCTTGCTTGGCAAGTACTTTATGAGCTGAGTCATTGTTCATTGTTCATTCCTGGAATTTGTTTTTTAAGGATCTTTACTCTTAGGAAAGGCTCTGAAGAGTTTTTGATAGCTGGTTTCAGGTCTCTTGAAACACTGTATGTGAGTGTGTGTGTATGTGTGTGTGTGTGTGTGTGTGTGAGAGAGAGAGAGAGAGAGAGAGAGAGAGTCTTGCTATGTTTCCCTTGAGCTCCTGACCTCAAGGCATCCTCTTGACTCAGCCTCCTAAGTAGCTGGCACTACAAACATGTCCCCCAGGGCCTGGTTATACTCTGTTTTAGAAATGCCATGACACCAGCTTGCCAATGCCACTGGCTCACTCTTGAGTTTGCCCATTGATGGAGTGGAAATGAAATGCAAGGTCAGAGATGTTCTAATAGAAAGGGCCTGTCTAGCCAGAAGTCCTCTGCCCTGACCGTGACTCACTAGAACTAAACATGAAGGTTACGAGCTCAGCCTCAATTAAGTCCTGTGACAAGGAATTCATCACCTACATGAGCAGCCCAGTCCACTCCTTCACAGCTTTGATTGAGCTCAAATCTGCCTTATAATGGTGCCAGTTCCATAGGCAGAGGTCAAATAAATATATGTGGTGGCTTGTCAGTGGGGCATCTTTGCAAGTATCTAAAAACAAGCAGTCAAGTTCATCTGCCTGATCTTTCCACCGCACTATGAATCAAGTGGTGGCCAATAGAACATTCTATGATGATGGAATTATCCATTTCTGAACTGCTTAGTTTGGGAGTCACTAGTTGTATGTGGCTACTGAACAGCAAAAATGTAGCTAGTGTGACTGAAGACCTGAAGTTTCCACTTAATTTAATTATTTTTACATTTTTATTTATTTATTTATAGGTGTGTGTGTGTGTGTGTGTGTGTGTGTGTGTGTGTGTGTGTGTGATGGTGAGGAGGTCAGAGGACAATTTGTGGGAGTTAGTTCTCCCTTTCAATCACTTGGGTCCTAGAGATTAAATTCAGGTCATCAGGCTTAGAAGTAGTGCCCTTACCCACTGAGCCATCTTGCCAGCCCCTTTATTTTAACTTAAAAGTCATTATGTCTACAGGCTACCAGACTGAACAGAGCAGCTCTAAATCCGTCAGTAATTCAAAGGTTTTTTTTCTATGTAGCTCTTTTGTGCTCTAAGTTAAAATTCTAGGTATTTTATGAACTTAGTTGATTTGAGTAGCATGTGATTTTTTGTTATATTTTATAATTGGATATTGCTTCAAATAGAAATACTACTGGGGGCTGGAGAGATGGCTCAGTGGTTAAGAGGGTTGGCTGCTCTCACAGAGGACCCAGGTTCGATTCCCAGCACCCACATGGTGGCTAACAACCACCCATAACTCCAGTTCCAGGGATCTGATGCCCTCTTCTGACATCAACAGACATTGAACGACATGGGTGCACTTACCTCCATGCAGGCAATACACTCATATACATAAACTAAAAATAATAAAATATTTTTAAAAGAAATACTTTTTTATTATTTGGTAATAGTGATGAACTTTTTCTTTAATTCTCGATTTTTTCTGTTGATCCTATTAGCTTTTGAGGGAGATGAGTGACTCATCTGCAAAAAATTTAACTCTTAGTCTTTATGCAACTGATAATTCTTTTCTTATAGCATTGACAAATGTCTCTAGTTTGTATTCAACTAGTAGTGTAGATCAACAGGTGCCTCATTATCTTTTTAAAAAATATTTTATTATTATTTTTATTTATGCATAATGAGCATGTGTGTAAGTGTGCCCACGTCGTGCAATGCCTGTGGAGGTCAGAAGAGAATGTCAGATTCCCTGAAACTGGAGTTACATCATGTGGGCGCTGGGAATCAAACCTGGGTCCTCTGCAAGAGCAGCCAGTGCTCTTAACCTCTGGGCCATCTCTCCAGCCCCTCACTATTGGTTAAACAGAGGATTTTTACAGCACCAGTTGTCTTTGTTGAGATTGGCGATTTGGAGTAAAACCCATTGATTATTTGGAGTTAGGCTCTAGATGTTTGTATAAGACATTACAAGTCATGGGGTTAAGCTCCTAAGAGTCAGGGTCTGATTGTTAAAATGCAGAAATTTGGAGCCTGGGGAGATGGCTCAGTGGAGAAAGGGCTTGCCACATAAGCATGAAGACCAGTTGAGAACCCACATGACAGCCAAGTGGGCATGACGTAATGGGAGGCAGAGACAGAGGAGCCCCTCAGCAAACTGGATAGCTAAACTGGCTGAATCCATAAGCTGTAGGTTCAGCAAGACTTCCTCAGTAAAAAAGACTGGAGAGTGATCAAGGAAGACACCCAACATCAACCTCTAGCCTTTACATGCACGTGCACACAAGTGCACCTACACATACGTAAACATGCACACACATGCGCACGCATACATCACACACACACCAAAAAAAAAGTTCAGGAATTTCTGCCTTTATTTTTGACTTTTTTGTCTCTATGAACTCTAACTTCAGTTTAACTCTGCCCACCTAATAACTCATGTCCACTTTGTAGACAAAGAGACTAAGGCTCAGAGAAGATTCTGTGCTGCGCATTTAACACATGGGGGAAGCTCAGATTCTAGCCCAGAGCAGGCAGATCTAAAGCCCATGTTTCTGCAGCGCTGTCCACTTCCACTTCTTACCACTGTGCCCTTTCTCTCCTTTCCCTTGCTCTCTGCCTCCCTGACTCCTGTGGTCTTACCTCGTAGCCAGCGCAGAAGGAAGCAGTCATCAGTCTTGGGCAGGGTGGGCAGCACATCCTGGAGGTTCTCACGGAACTAAGGGAAGAGGGATATGATGGTTAGTGTTTCAGAGTCTTTAGGGTCAGTGCCTGGGCTCTGACAGCCCACACAAGCTAGGCTTAGTCACCTGTCCTCAACAGGCCAATTAAGAAACAAGTAATAGTGGGGACTGGAGAGATGGCTCAGCAGTTAAGAGCACTGGCTGTTCTTGCAGAGGACCTGGGTTTGAATCCCAGGACCCGTATGGGGGCTAACAACTATCTGTAACTCCAGTTCCAAGGGATCTGATGCCCTCTTCTGTCCTCCACAGGCACTGCATGACACAGGTGCACTTACATGCATGTATAACACTCATACACATAAAATAATAAATAAATAAACAAACAAGTATTATGAAAAGCAGAGAAAAGAGATTTATTTAATGTGACCACATTGGAAAGAGAAACAATAAAGAAGTCCAATGATTCCTACCCCCAAGTCTGTCTTTGGGGTCCTAGGATAAGGTTTATGTTTAAATAGAGGGCAAGAGGTATGTATAACTAAGTAGTCCTGGTCAGGGTGTGGTCCTGCCCATCACTGATCCATTATTGTCTGGGCTCCAGTATGCCCTGCAAGTGGTCATCCAAGTGTCTGACAAGCTGTTAGAACTGTATGAAATATCTCTCCCTGGAGACAAGATCCCCCTCTGGCTGGTACCAGGGCCCCCAGCCTTCTCCTTCCTTCCCCAGTGTAAGATTCCTGGAGAAGTTTCAGTTCCTTGGGGTCTGTTGTCTCAACAGACTGAGAGGTAAAGGGAGGGGTACAAGCGTCTGTCTTGAAAATATCTTCTCTCAGGCTGGAGAGATAGCTCAGCAATTTAAGAGCACTGGCTACTCTTGCAGAGGACCCTGGTTCAAGTCCCAGCACCAACATGGCAGCTCACAACTGTCTGTAACTCCAGTTCCAGAGAATCAGACGCCCTCTTCTGACCTCCTTGGGCATTACATAAGTGCACTTACACACATGCAGGCAATACACTTATACACATAAAAAAAATAAAATAATTTTTAAAAAGAAAATATCTTCTCTCTTTCTGGGATGGTTGCAAGAGGAATTCTTTGACCACCTGGGCCACTAGCCCCACCCTCACCCTTCTTGTCCCCATCTGCCTCTGCGCTAGATAGTTTTAGTGTCAAGTTGACACACCTGGGTTGAGGGAGCCTCAATTGGGGAATTGCCTCCATTGGACTGGCTTGTGGCCATGTCCATGGGGCACCTTCTTGATTGTTGAGTGCTGTGGGAGGGCCCAGCCCACTGTGGGTGGTGCCACCCCTGGGCAGGTGGGCCTGTGTTACATAAGAAAGCAGGCTGAGCAGGGGTCAGGGGAGCAAGCCAGTAAGCAGCATTCCTCCATGGCCTGTGCTCCAGCTCCTGCCTCCAGGTTCCTGCCCTGAGTTCCTACCTTGGGCTCCCTGATGAACTGTGACCTGGGAGACGTAAGACAAATAAACCCTTTCCTCCCTAAGTTGGTATTGGTCAGAGTGTTTTGTCACAGAAATGAAGAACAAACTAGGACAGCCTCTCAGGACCACCTGGATACTCTGCTGAGATCACAGCACCTGTCCTGAACCACTGTGGCACCTGGGAATGGGGCACCCTCCAGTCTACCATTGGAGGAAGAGTTGGTTCTGCCTCAAACTTTGGGGTGAATCTGAGATCCAAAAGGGAGGTTTCTAATCTAGTCCCTAAGTCTGAGACAGGAACCCTGGGTGATTATGATGTAAGGTAGACAGAAAATTCTAGAGATACTGTCCTTTGGAAATGAGTTTCCTCATTTTCAAAATGAAGAGCATGCTAAACTTGTCTACTCAAAGACTTGATATTTAAAATAAACATACACCCACTGTAGTGGTGCATGTCTATAACCCCAGTGCTCAGGAAGCTGTTAAGAAGATCATGAGTTTGAGACCAACCTGGGCTACATACAGAGAGATCTTATCTAAAACATTGCAAATAATAATAATATGAATGCATTTTGCTTTGCTACATGGTTAAAAAGGAACGTGTAGAGACAAATGACCAAAATTAGAATTTCCATATTTTAATAGTCAAATCATGAGCACTCGGACAAGCTCAATAACCCACAATGTCTCACATAAACATTTACAGCTTAATTCCTTATGACTCCAAATGGTCAGTCTGAAGAGAAATAACTGGTGCTATAAAATTTGCTACTTAAGTCAGCCTGTCCCCTCAGATACGGGCCCTGCACAAATAGATGTCTGAGTAGCCTCCTTGTCAACAGCTCTCAGAGACTTCCACCCTGCCAGTGGTCTGATCTTGTCTCTGAAGCTCACTACTGTAGCTGTACCACAGTGCATCTAATAAACTCTCTTCTTTAGCCTTTTTCTTTTTGGTAAATTCATCTGTAGTCTGAGTGTCACCAGCCTGTCACTGCCATCCATGGTCATCCACTCTCTCTAGCGTTAACAGAGCCATATGATCAACAGTAGGTGCGGCATGAATCCCAACAGGTAAAGGAAGGTCTCAAATTTGAAAGCAGCTGCAACCTCAGGGGACCCAAGAAAGTTTGTTGAGAGGTAGAAGGTGTGGAAGGGGACAGTAACACTAAGCTCAGGAAAACTCTAGAGGGAAATGATGCCGAGCACAGCTGTATAGAGCTCTAGGACCCTTGACAACCTTTCTCCCTCTTCCTCCTTTTAACTTTTACCCCTAATTTTTAAAATAGCAAGTATTCATTTTTTTTTTTTTTCGGAACTGAGGACCAAACCCAGGACCTTGTGCTTGCTAGGCAAGCGCTCTACCACTGAGCTAAATTCCCAACCCCCTATTCATTATTTTTAAATGATGGAAAATGTGGGAACAAAGTCTCTTTGCATTGTTTAAAGCTCTTGCCCTGCCCCCCCAGAGTCTCCATCAATTCACCCCCAGGGGCCAGGTGCCCAGTCCCTCTGTGAGCCTTTCGTGTGGCACTTCTTGAAGCCCTCAGCACTGGGAGGCTCACAAGAGGAGAGGGCCCCCTCCTCCAGTGAGGACCCTTCTTTCGCCTGGAGAGCCCTGGGTGAATTCTCCTCTTTCACTAGGGTCCTCATTTCTCCTTGTTGGGCCTTCCCCAGGAGAGACAAGTCATTCAACACGTCCTTTGAGACAGAGTTTCTCTAAATTCAGGCTGGCCTTAAACTTGGATCTTCCTGCCTGTGCATGTCAAATATTAGAATTATAGATCTGCACCTCCCTGATTGGCTTTCCCCCACAAACCTTCCCTTTCACAAGGCCAAGTGTGAGCCTAAGGCAGGCTCTTGACCTGGGCCCTCTCACTTTCCCCATGACCCTGTCCCTACCAGGTAGTCTCAAACTCACACCCCTACCCCTCTATTTCTCTGTAATGATAATAATAAGATAAATAACGATAGGGAGAAAGACTTGGAACCTGAGGAAGAGAGACCAAACCCAAAAAATGTCTGCAGTCTGGGCACAGATTGCAGAATCTGTCTCTTAGCAGCGGGGAACAGAGAGGCCTGATGGTGGGGCCTGCACCTGTGGAAGGCTGAATTTGTAGCCCCCCTCCCATCCCCAACCCACAGTCACCCAGAGAGAGGGACAGTGGTCCTGGTCCGGTGCTGCATGCAGTGGCCTCGCAACCATGCCTTTGCAGCCCGGACTTTGCAACTGGTCCCCAAGCAGGGCTGTAGCCCTCGATTCTGCGCCTCTGTGTGCTGTGCCCCTCACCCTGGCCAGCGTCTCCTGCTGCTGTGGACTCAGATCCCCGACTCGGCCGCTCATGGCTCCTGCCACCTGGCTTCAGCTGCCACCACTGGCACCAGATCTTGCTTGACAAGGTTTGGTGCTGGTGCCGCCCCAAGAGAGAGAGACGCTGCTCCAGTCCCGCCCTGCCTAGTGCTCCTGTCCCCTCCCCTGTTTGGTTTGTTTGTTTTTCCAGATCACCAAGCCCACCCTACCTGGGGCAGAGAGGTGACCGGCTCCCAAGAGGTGTCCCTGGAAGGGCAGATTTGAGTCTTGAGCCGTCTTCAGGCTTTCCTAACACTCAGGGCTCTGACTCCCAGTTGGAAGGGTGCGGGAGGGGGGTGGGGTGTAGGGGTTGAGGGTGTGTTCACTCAAAGGACTCTTGCCCAGGGTTCAATGTGCTGGGCTCACATGGAGGGTGAGGATGTCACCATCCGAGGTCCTTTTTGCCTGAGGCGCTCCCAACCCCCTTCCCCTGACCTTGAACACAGACTGGGCTATGTCAGTGCTCACTGGCCAGGAGATAAGCCCTTCTATGACAAATGGCTTCAGCCCTCAAGATGTAGGAAAAGATTAGATAAGACGGGTTCAGGTTAGCAGAATGCCTGGCATGTCACACACTCTAAGTGTAGGCTGCTAGGAGCAAAGTTTCAAAATTGTTATTGTCACCAGAACCAGGAGCTTCAGGGGTGAAAGGCTTGGACGGCCCAGGTGGTGAGCCCCTGGGTCGTCTGCACAGCTGGAAAGCCCAGGAATGAGTGGGCAGCGACCTACACTGAGTGGGCTGATCTCCCTCCATAGGTGAGGAAACACTGGCAGGCTTGGCATGGATTTTCCAATAAAGAGCAGGTGGTAGGGGAGGGAAAGAGGTGGTAAAGCAGGCCACTGAGACATTTCCCTCGTGTACTCTTATGGGGTCAAATCAAGTTCTAGATGTGAGATGCTCAGTCTTGAGCTCATGTGAGCCTGTTTGAGGATGGGAGATGGGATTCATCACTAGCAAGAATGGGTGTGCTAAATATAAAGAAAAAATTTCAAAGACTTAGTATCAACACCAATAAAATATTGTATCAATTTTTTTGCTATTGCTATTGATTATATGTTGATATAACTTTGGATATATTGGAATAAATAATTTTTTTCTCTTTTTCAGACAGGGTCTCATGTAGACCAGGCCGGTCTCAAACTCATTATGTAATCAAGGATAACCTTGAATTCCTGATCCTCCTGCTTCCACCTCCCCAGTGCTGGGATTACAGGCAGATGCTACCATGCTGAGTTAATGTGGTCCTGGGGCTCAAGCATAGGTAGGGCAAGCACTACTAAATGAGCTTCATGACCAGCACAAAATACATTAATTTTATTTGGTTTTTTTTCCATATTTGATTTTTTTTTTTTTTTTTTGAGACAGGGTCTCACTATGCAGCCTTGGCTAACCTGAAATTCACTGTGTAGACCAAGCTGGCCTCAAATTCACAGACATCTGCCTGCCTCTGCCTCCCAATTGCTGGAATAAAAGCATGCACCGCCACATGTGGCCTAATTTAGAATTTTTTAATTGATAAATTTTATTCCTTAGGGAAGTTTTGGGATTTCTTCAGGCAAATCAGAAAGTTCTGAGTTCTCATAGGTCCCCTGTCGTTTCTTTGTCTCCACTCCAGCACCGCTGGTACCATGGTGAGACACTTGCATAACAAACCAACGAATCTACACTGGCATTCTGCTGTTCCTCAGATTCTATGGGGTTTCTATTAGGCCTCACTGCTGCTGTATGTTCAGGGAGGTCTGACAACTGTGCAGTGACATGTCTGCTACTTCAGTGTCATATGGAATACCTTCATTGCCCTACAGATCCACTGGATTCTGTCTATTCTTTTTATTTTTCAGAAATACAGCTACCTGGGGCTGGAGAGATGGTGCAACAGTTATGAACACTGGCTGCTCTTGAAGAGGATCTGAGTGCAGTTCCCACCACACACATCAGTCATCTCACAACCACCTGTAACACAACTCCAAAACATTTGATACTCTATTCTGGTCTCCTTGGGCACCTGCATGTACATGGTGCACGTAATATATTCAGGAGCACATACACATATACATAAAAGTAAATATTTTTTAAATGCAGTTACCAAGCAGTATTTGGTAACACACACCTGTAATTCCAGCATTTGAAAGGCAGATTTGGGAGGATTGAGAATTTTAGGTCAGCCTGGGCTACATAGTAAGAGACTCTTAAATTTGTATCTATTTGAGACTTTCATTATATTTCATTTGACTAGCATTTTCTCTAGAAGAAATTTTAATTGAAAGATCCTAAACAAATGACATAGTCTACACTTGAAAGCAGTGTCAGAAACCACAAAAGGAAAATTAATTGATTTTACTACAGAGAAATATGAAACTTGTTGCACAAGCCTTTTCTTTCAGTGCTGGGGATTGAACCCTAGAGCCTTGTGCATGTTAGGTAAAGGCCCTACCACTGACTCATCAGGTGGCTCAGTCTCTGTTTCTGGGTCTTAAAAAACATCTCAGTTGGGTGTGGTGGTGTATGTCTTTAATCCCAGCACTTAGAAGACAGAGGCAGGTAGATCTCTGTGAGATCGAGGCCAGCCTGGTCTACATAGCAAGTCCAAGGCCAGCTGGGTTTACAGGGAGACCTTGTCTCAAAATTAACAAAGAAAATAAAAATAAAACCACAAAGTCCCCCTCTAAAGACCCACGTGTGTTCAAGCTGTGAGATGTCTTATTCCCGAAAAACATCAGAAAATAAACAACAAAACCCTAAATCAACACACACACACACACAAAAAAAAAAAACCTTAAAAAATGATGTTAGGCTGGGGGTGGTGTTGCACACCTTTAATCCCAGCACTTGGGAGGTAGAGGCAGGCAAATCTCTGTGAGATCAAGGCCAGCCTGGTCTACATAGTGACTTCCAAGTCAACTGGGGCTACAGGGAGACCCTGCCTCAAAAAGGTAAAAATAAATAAATAAATGATAGTGTTAGTTAGAAGTTGAAATGGAGATGTTCATGGACTGCTGATGGGAGTAGAAACTTTTTCTAGAAGACTATTTGACAACACTTATCAGATACATTAAACATTTTACCACTTGGCTCAGTGGTAATTCTGTTAGAAAATATTTAAAACCTAAAATTGTTCATAAATCGTTAACAGGAATTTGAAACAAGTTTGAAATAAACTATGGTACTTAATGTGGTTCATGAAGGGCTTGGAATACATGGGAAAAATATAGGACCAGGAAATTATGATTCTGGGAGGTGAAACAAAACTCATTTGGTGGAAAGAGGTTAAATACGAAAAGACTTTTGCTTGATCTTTCCCCTGTCTCTAAGGAATAAAGTCATATTTTAAAATGCCGCAAGTTGCCCACAAAGAGAAACCTGTGTTTAATCAGCAGTCTCTACTTACCAGGCCCTGCTCTAAGGGTTTGTCAATATTAGTTTAGCACTAACAGAAAAATCATACGAGCCGTACAGGTGACCTCAAATTCTCTGGCTACCAGAGGAGGGGAGAATCATTTATAGGCACTTTCAGTTGCTAGTAGCTACCTCCAAGGAGGAGGCTGTGGCATCCACAGATTTGAACTCTAGCTGGAATGATGGAGGTGTTTGCAATGACTACTGGGGAAGAAAGTGCTCATTAAATACAACACTGATCATGTCATCCCAGACAGCAAGAAACTTACTGATCATGGCTTAAAATGGCACTATATGGAATAAGCTTATTCTTAAGAACAGCACACAGTTTTTAGAGGCTGGAGAAATGGTTCCACAGTTATGAGCACTGACTGTTCTTACAGAGGACCTGGGTTTAGTTCTCAGCACTCACATGGCAGCTCACAGCCATCTGTAACTCCAGTTCAAGGGGATTCAATGCCCTCTTCTGACCTCCGTGGGCATTGCGTGCACGGGCGCACTTACAAGCTGGTAAAACACTGATATAAATAAACTACATAATTTTTAAGACTGATGTGTCTCTGGGAGCTGGGAAATCTCTGATGGAATGAAACTGAAGCTGTTACAGAGAATTCTTTCCCTGCACCACCCTCCTCTCTGCCCTTTTCTCTCCCATTTGTATGGGTGCTTGGTTTTATAAACTTCTTAGTGGCTGTGGAGATGGAGCCAGTAGGTAAAGTGCCTGCTGCATGTAACCACGAGGACCTGAGTTCGGATGCCTGGCACCCACACAAAAAGCTAGGTGTGGCTTTGCACTTCTGTAATCTCAGGGCTGAGAGGTGGAAACAGGAGGATAGAGGGACGGTGTTTCACTGACCAGACAGTCTAGCTGACCAGTGAAGACCAAGTTCAGTGACAGACCCTGTCTCAAAAACATTAAGGTGGAGAGTGATTGAGGAAGCTACCAGACATCTACCTCTGCCCTCATTAGCTGGGTGTGGTTTTACTCACCTGTAATCCTCTTACTTGGAAAGCTGAAGAAGGATGGAGAGGACTTTTTTGTTGTTATTTTTTGCTTGTTGGTTTTCTGAGATGTGTCTCCCTGTAGCCCTAGCTGGCCTGTATCCTAGGCTGCCTTCAGTCTCACAGAGATCCACCCACCTCTGCCTCTTGATGGCTGGGCCTTTAGTGGCATGTGCCACTACACCCAGCTGAGTTTGGGAATTTGAAGTCTTGGCTATACACTGAGACCCTTCCTCAAAAATTTAAAAACAACCACCACTATAAAAACTCATACTAATAAAAACTGAGAAGCAGAAAACATGTCTAGTTTTTTCCCCCATTTAGTTACTTGTTTGTTTATTGTGTGCATACGTCTATGTGTGTGCATGCCACAGTGCAGGCATGGAGGTCGGATGACAGCTTTGGGGAGCCTGTTCTCTCCTTCTACCACACAGGGCCAGGGGAGCAAACTTGGCAACAACACCTTTACCTGCTGAGCCATCTTGCAAGCCCCATACATTTTAAAGGTTCATTTCTATAACCAGGCACAGTGGTGCACACCTGCAATCCAAGCTACTCGGGAGTCAGAAGCAGGACTGCAAATTCCAAGTGCTAAGACATCCTGTCTCAAAAAAACTAAAAGCAAACAAAACAATACAAATCTCTCATATCGGTAAA